CGGCTGCCGCCCTTCCCCATCCCGGCTCAGCCCGTACCTTCCCCCGGCTGCCGCCCTTCCCCATCCCGGCTCAGCCCGTACCTTCCCCCGGCTGCTGCCCTTCCCCATCCCGGCTCAGCCCGTACCTTTCCCCATGCCGCCCTGCCCCGCCTTACCCCAGCCCGCCGCCGTGCCCGCTGTCTCCATCCGCCCCCGGCGCGGCTCCCCGGGGGCCGGCGGGGCCCCGCCGCCTCCTGCCGTGCGCGGGGCCGGAGCGCGGCCGGGCGGGAGCCGGCGGGCCCGGGCCGGGGGCCGGGGGCCGGGGGCCGGGGCCGGGGCCGGGGCCGGGGCCGGGTGACCCCCGCCCCGCGGGCAGGGCCGCACATGCCGCGGGCAGCGCGGGGGGGCCCGCGGCCGCCGGGGCTGACCCCGCCGCTCATCCCCCCGCGGCCGCGGCGAGCGGCGGCGCCGGGGCTGCCGCGGGGATTCGCTGCCTGCTTGCGGAGCTGTAGGCGGGTAGCGCCTCCGGAGAGCCGAGTCCAGCGCAGCGCTTGGGCTGGAAGGGAGGGACTGCCTGGAGTAAACCCACGGGGATGGACGGGATTATCCGACAGCGCGGAGGATATAGTTCCGTGCGGCTGGATGGAGGCTAGGAGGAGGATGTAGTCATGTCGTCCGACTGAGAGCTAAACCCACTTTTTATAGTAGTAACATCTACTTGTTACCAGGGGTCTTGGGCAGGTTTCTCACTGCGCTTGATAAATGCCCTAGTGCTGGATACAGAGGGAACAGCAGGTCTTAAAGATTATGAGCTTTCGTAACTGATTGTTTACCTCTAGGAAAAGGATCATTAGCTTTTTAGGTAAGGAATGTGTGAAGTGAGGTCCCTTTCCTGAATATCCCCTCAGCAGTTTGGGGGTTTTATGACCCAAGTTCCGCTGGCACTTCTGTCACCCACACTCATGTGCTCTGCAGTTCATTGCAGAATGGTCCCACTGAGCCTGTTTGTAGGGCATGGAGCTGGAGCTCCACGGCTGTGCGGGCATTGCTTCCCTATCCTTGGGTGGTTTTGTAGCCTGGAGAACAAGTTCTCAAATCAGAACGGCTTCGCTGTCAGTATTAAGGCTGTTCAGCTTCTCCATGGTTTAGCAGTGATGGATGCAAGGCTGTAGTGAAGTTTGGGGTAGATGTAAAACATGTGGACTCCCCAGTAAAAAGTTTCCTGCTGTCACTGATCATCTTTTTTTTTTCATTTTCTTTTCTTCTTAAATCCAGGTGAGCATTAAGGGAATCTAAGGCAATTGAAATGAGGGTTTGTGGGTATTTACAGGTGTGTTTCCTTATGGATCACAGAAACATGCACCTGTTGCCAAAACTACGGTACCTTGGTACCCTTAGAATCCCTTAGAATGCTGCTGCAGAAGTTACCTTGTAATATATTTCTTCAACCCCTCAGAAAGTCTGACTCCTTGAAAGACCACTCATTTATAATTTCAATAAATGGAAGCTGCATGGATTCCTGTTAGGGGTTCTTTGTTGTTTGGTTATGGCATGAAGGTGTGAATCTGTACACACATAAGAAAATCTGATTTTCTGTGTATTGAATTTTGGTTATGTGCCCCTTGGCCTCGTTCTGCCTGTCAAGAATCATGTATGTGTATAACACTGCACTTAAGGATTTGAAAATATTTTCTCCACTTTAAAGTTCGAGAATTCCTAATGTTTAGTAATTCTGCGAATTTTGATTATGACATCTTTGTTCAATGGCACCTCACATTTACTCACAGGATCAGTATTAAATTTAGTCCTGACATACTTAGGGTCTTAAGTTTGACTGAGATATCCATTCTCAGACAATTAAAAAAGCTCACAAATTGTGGAAAGTGCCTTAGTAACTGACTTTGGATGCAGGAGAATTGCTCAGTGTTTGCAGTTCTGAAGAAACCTCTCAGCTTGGACTTAGAGTCCTTCCTGTGAGAGTGTTGTCCTTTTGCTGCAGTAGGAGTTGCAACTGCTTCTGAGACAGAGAGCATTTGTTTCTGGGTCAGACAACACAGTGCCCGACAGGATCCATCAGAGCCTGCAGGAGCATCCCGCAGCTGGCAGAAGCCTCTGGAGCCAGCAGTACTCCCTGTGCCCAGCTGCAACGGACTGGAATGCTGTGGGCTTTGCTCACCCCACTGATATCCGAATCTGCATCACATGCATATGGAAATGGGGTAGATTTTTACCCTTTTTCTTGTGTGTTTTTCAGCGTTTAGACTTCCCGGTTTCGCTCCTTCAGCTGTGCAGCTGAGTGGAACCTGGCTGTGGAGTGGGACTCGGCCTAGACTCGGATTTGCACAGCCAGTGCAGCAGTGCTGTGTTGTGTCATGGGGATACTGTGGGTAGTTTACATCATTAGTTGTTTCTTCTGGTAGCATCTGCTTTTCTGTTTTGGTAAAACACATTTGTATTAAAGAAAACTCGCCACAAATAAATGATTTACCACGCAGGAGTTTGCTTATGGATAGTATTTGGGAGAGCTGGAACAAAAATAAAAATAATTCAGTATTCCTGCTGCTCCAATCTATTGACTTTGGGTTAGTTTGTCCTTCTTGGGACATCACAGAGCAGGAGAGACCAAGGCAGTGTCTATTGATGTGGGTTAGTTTGTCCTTCTTGGGACATCACAGAGCAGGAGAGACCAAGGCAGTGTCTATGTGAACCCGAGTGGTTTCTGAATTCTGCCATCTTATGGCATTCTCATGCCTCTCCTCCCCAGTCTACAGAAATGGGGAATGTGACTGACTGAGAGCCCAAGCACATTTAGGTTAAATTCTGGAATGGTATTCCTTATGGATGGAGCTGCACAGAGTTGCTGTCCATAGTGGCTGTTGCCCAATTTACTGATAAGGAAAATAACCACAGATAGATAATTCTATTCTTAGATGATTTTACATTTTCTCCAGTCAAGGGACTTCATTATAAAGCTGCTGTCAGTGCACTGACAGACCTCGGCTCAGCTTCCCATCTCCTGGGGTTTGCTTTGGGATCTCTGGGGCTGAGTGGGAGCTGCAGCCTGGTAGCCAATTTTTGTAAGGCAAAATAAATTTTCTTGCTATAATGAGATCACTTTTGACTGAGAATTTTTATGTATTCATAGCGAGACATTTGGGGGATACCGTTCACCACATCCTTTTTTGCTTTGTGGAAAACGTGGTAATGAAATAAATGTCAGGTTGATTATACAATGCGTCATAGATAAAATGCTTCAGAAATGAGCACAATCGATTATGGGAACAGGAAAGTCTTTCCTGCATGGAAAATCTGGGAGCAGTGAAATTTCCTCACTGCTGTAGAGTCTGCAGAGCTTTCTGCCCTTGGGCTGGCTCATCCTGCCCTGTGCTGGGCATTCCCAG